GGTCCTGCCATGCGGGCAGGGGACTGGACTCGATGACCTCTCGAGGTCCCTTCCAGTCCTAGAATCTATGAATCTATGAATTCTCTGGCTTGTGTCACACGGCAGGAGAGCCTAGACCAGCATGAACGTCCCCTCCCCCCTTACAATGTCGGGGTCAGATTCTCAGCTGGTAGAAATCTACACAGCTCCTTTGATCCCAGTGGAGTTACTCCTGATTTACACCAGGGTGCGCGGCTGAGAGGGGAAACAGCCCCAGGGAATCCAATGGAGTCCCCCAGGAGTCAGGTCAGGGGGAGCGAGAGCAGAATCCGGACCCCGGTGGAGCGGGGGATCTGGCTCTTTCAGTTCAATGGCGCTACAGTTATTGATGCCGGTGGAGGACCTGGTCCCGGGGGTCTATGAGCGTTATGGAAAATGATGCAGAATCTCCGTTAATTGGCGACTCTGCCGAGGTCTCAGCCTGGGAGTCTGGCGGGATTCGGGGCCCTGGTCCCGACGGGCCCAAAAGGGATTTAAAGACCATGGAGAGCCGTAAGGAGGCTGGAAGCTGTGAGAAAGCTGTGGGGCTCGGCAGCAGTGTGGGGGATACGCTGTGGCAGCCCTCGCTAGCTTCGGAGCGGATTAGGTCTCCGGGTTGGATACCAAGAGCCCAGGCTGTGCACCTCTCCTGGGCGATGGGCCGTTTGGGATAAGGAAGCTGGATGGTGCTACAGAGGAGTCACGGCCGGGGACAGAAAGAAGAATTCCAGCCAGCTGGAGCGGCCCCTCCCAATGCAGCCAGTGTAAGACTCCTGCTTCGGTAAAGTCCTTCTCGCTCTGTCCCTCAATCTCTGCCTGTCTCTGAATCTGCCAGTCTCTGTCTTGTGCCGAGGGAGATGTCAGCCCAATATTTTCTTTAGAGAGAAATCGATCCAGCCGTCCGTCCATCCTTCTCTGTGTGCCTGCCTGCCAGTCTGTCTGTCTGTGTGTATCTATCCTTTATCTCCCTCTCTCCATGTGTTACAGCCCCAACCTGCCAGCATCTCCCCTTCAGCCCAGCCTCCCCTGCACGGGGAAAACTCCCTGGCCAAATGCAAACAGACACTTCGTTATTGTCCTTCAAATCTCACCTTAAAAATCCCTCTGGCAGGTTATCCACAGAGCCCAGCCTGCTGATCACGGCCGAGCAGATGAGAAACTGTGGCCAGGGGCGCTGGAACCATTTGTGTATTGGGGGTGCTGAGAGCCATTGAAACGAACTGTGAACCCTGGAAATGATGGAAACGACGTCAAGGGAGAGGATAAGGTAGCCCCCCGACCTGTGGCTATTCTTCATCTCCTTTCTCTTTCCTTCTCTTTCTATCCCCAATTAACCCCTCTATAATTCACAACATTCACAAAGCTGGGGCAATTCTTCCCCCCATTCAATTGTTTGTATGTTCCATCCTTGTCCTCTTCCTTAATACAAACATGGAGCAGCCCATGCAATTATAACAACAAAACCCTACCAAAACAAAGCTCTGCACTGCACAAACGGTCATCTCTCTGCAGAGACCCTGAGAGAGAGAACGAACCACACATGAGAAATGTTAGCCACAAATGAGAGGCTCTAAGGTACTGTGGTGATAAGGGTGGGGAAAGGGCCTAGATAGAATAGAATTGAAGCAGTTGGAATAGGACAGGAGAGAAGAGAAGAAACTGGAACAGAATAGAATAGAATAGAATTGATGTCCCCTTTTTTGTCTCTGGACTGTAGGATCTTCAAGACAGACATTTTCTCTCCCTACATTCAGTGCCAGCCCAGTGAGGCCCTGACCCCAACTGGCATTACAATGATAGAAATTTACACCGCTCCTAGTGACAGTGAGTCATGGGGGCAGCGGAAGGAAGGGTGAGCACTGCAGCTATAGGATGACAGGTCTTTTCGTTTCAGTAACTCATTGGCATTATTTCACTCCCCATCCCCAGGAATGAGTCCCACATGGGGCTGGTCAACCACACTCTGGTGTCTCATTTCATCCTCTTAGGGATCCCCAACACCGATGGCCTCCAGACCATCCTCTTCGTCACCTTCTTAGCCTTCTACCTCTGCACCCTGTTGGGCAACCTGCTCATCTTCTCAGCCATCCTCGCTGACGCCCGCCTGCACACCCCTATGTACTTCTTCCTCTGCAATCTCTCTGTGCTGGACATTGGAATCTCTTCCATCAGCATCCCTAAATTGCTGGCCAACCTCTGGGCTCAGAGCAAGGTCATCTCGCTGGGCGGGTGCATGTCCCAGGTCTTCTTCTGGCACTTCCTGTGCAGCACCGAGTGCCTGCTCTACACCGTCATGGCCTACGACCGGTACGTGGCCATCTGCCACCCGCTGCGCTACCTGCTCATCATGAACCGGAGGGTGTGCGCCCTCCTGGCTGCCGGCACCTGGATCACCAGCTCCTTCCACGCCACCATCCTCACCACCCTGACCTTCACGCTGCCCTACTGCAGGTCCAACGTGGTGGACTATTTCTTCTGTGACATCTTCCCAGTGGTCAAACTGGCCTGTGCGGACACGTACGTCATCGAGACTGTGAGCTTCATCAATATTGGGGTGGTGCCTATGACCTGCTTCCTCCTCATCCTCGCGTCCTACATCTGCATAGTCTACTCCGTCCTGAAGATGAACTCAGCCGAAGGGCGGCGCAAAGCAGCCTCCACTTGCGGATCACATCTGGCTGTGGTGACGCTGTTCTTTGGGCCCTGTGCCCTGGTCTACACGCAGCCCCAGCTGAGCAATGTGCTGGTGACCCCTGTGCAGATCTTTGGCAACGTGGTCACGCCCATGCTGAACCCGGCCATCTACACGCTGAGGAACAAGGAGGTGAAAGCGGCTCTGAGAAAACTGAGAGGGGGGGTCCAACGCCTGCACGTTGATGCAGTGAGGCAGCTGCAGGAGTAGCATTTGGGTCTGCATAGAAATACATCGACAAACACATCTGTATGGCTGCTCCATGGCTCTTGTGAACCTCTGTCTCTCCCCATCCCCACACCGTCCCTATCTAGTTATCTGGAGCTCTACAAATCATAGAAATACTTCGAAAAATACTGAGCTGTCTGACAAGCTGTAAGGCTGATCTTTTCAAAGCTGCCTGAGAGAGGCACACTCAGTCTGCATTAAAATTAATAGGAAGTGGAGACCCAAACCTTTTGAGGATTTTGAAAATCTCAGCCTTATTACACAGATCTACACAGCTTGAACTCTTTAACCCTATCATTATAAGGCAGGTTTGCTAATCCTTCAGTTATTCTCATGAGTCTTCTCTGCATCTTCTCCACTTTTTCCGCCACCGTCTGGAATTGTGAACACCAGAACTGGACACAATGTATTCTACCAGTGTTCACACCAGTGCCAAACAGGGAGGTAAAATCACCTCTATGCTCGTACTCGAGATTCCTCCTTTATGCATCCCAGGGTCACATTAGCTCTTCTGGCCTCAGCGTCGCACTGGGAGCTCACGTTCAGCTGATTCTCCACCTTGACCCCCAAATGCTTTTCAGAGTCACGGCTCCCCAGGAGAGAGACCCCAGTTCTCTAAGCACAGGCCTGATTCTTGTTTTCTAGATATATGTGTGTATGTTCAGCTGCACTGAAATGCACATTGTTTGCTTGCGCCCCCTTACCCAGAGATCCTGATCCCGACTGGGGAGGAGGTCGGAGGAGCTATTCCAGGGTTGGGGTTCGGATGGACATCAGTGCAGTTTTCCCAGGGTGAGGGAGGAGGACACTGGTGTTATCCTAGGGTTAGCGTTAGGGAAAAGGTCAAAGGAATTCTGCTCAGTTTGAGGTTGGGCAGCTGGATGACGTTAGGGTTCAAGTGACGCATTCAGTCAATGAAGTTACCCAGGGTCTGGGTGAGGCAGGAAGTGAATACATTTATGACAGGGTTTATGAGGACTAGGTAGGAAGTGAGGCGAATGACGTCATCTCTTTGGGGCTCAGTTCTCCACCTGAGACACTGTGGTAAAAATGATTTCTTTCTCCCCCCATTTCTGTTGTAAGCTCTTCGGGGCAGGGGCTGTCTCTCACTGTGTGTCAGTGCAGCACCTCTTGCACCTGGGCCTCCAGGCCTCCCATAAAACAGAAACAATAACGTACTGTTCAGAATTATCACTGACTCCTCGGACGTGGGCTTTAACCTTGTGCCCTTAAATGAAAATATAATAAATAAAAAAAGCGAAAGGAACCTGGGGTAGATTCCACGAGCCAGCCCCTGACCCTTCTCCCTGCAGAACAGCGCATGCAAGTCTGACATCTACTCCTGAGGAAATACTGTGTCAAAACGTTAAAAATTCCACACACAATATTTTAAAAATCTGCAAAAATCTGCATATTTTATTTGTCAAAATAGCATAATATAATCAGTCCCGTTTCAATTATTTTGGTAATTTATTTCAAAATACCTATCAACAAGTATGTCAGCAAATAGACAACAGCAAGAAATATTCCCCCAGGAGTTGAGAGTTAAAGAAACCCCTAGAACTGTAGTCAGCAACCTTTCAGAAGGTGTGTGCCGAGGCTTCATTTATTCACTCTAATTTAAGGTTTTGCGTGCCGGTAATACATTTTAACGTTTTAGAAGGTCTCTCTCTATAAGTCTATAATATATAACTAAACTATTGTTGTATGTAAAGTAAACAAAGTTTTAAAAATAGTTTAAGTAAGACTTC